CTTGGAGGACCAGGAAATGAGAGAGGAGCCTAAGAAGACACAAAAACCAGTGGTAGAACGGCGAGTAGTGGGATACCCGGCCCAATCAGCATCAAAATAAGTGACCAGGCGATCAAGAGGACTAGCGCGGAGATGAATGCCATAATGAAGTGTGCCTTTAATATATCGTAGAATACGCTTGACAGCTTGAAAATGCTGTTCCCGGGGATCATGCATATACTGACAGACAAGGTTGACCGCACATGAAGGTCTGGTCTGGTGAAGGTAAGATACTGTAAGGCACCCACCAAGCTCCGATAGAGAGTTGTATTGTGAAAAGGCGGAGACTCATCAACAGAAAACTGAAAAGTGCGGAAGCAAGGGGAGTTGCAACAGGATTGGCATCAGTTAGATGACTACGAGCCAACAATTCCTCAGCATACTTACGTTGGTGTAAAAACCAACCACCAGAGTGAGGAGCAAGAGAAACACCGAGAAAATAGCCGATTGGACCAAGATCAGTCATGGCAAAAGCACCCTTCAGTGATTGAATAATAGTAGTGAGCAGACGATTACTAGATGCTGTCAAGAGAATGTCATCAACATAAAGTAACAAAACCGCCATGTCTGATCCAGCAGAATACACAAACATAGAAGAGTCTGAGCGACTGCCTGTAAAACCCTGAGAAAATAGAAAAGCAGTGAATCTATGAAACCAAGCTCGGGAAGCCTGTTTTAAGCCATAAAGAGCTTTGTTCAATCGACAGATATAGTGAGGATGATCTGGATGAACAAAACCAGTAGGCTGTTTCACGTAGACAATTTCATTGAGATGACCATGCAAAAATGTATTTTTAACATCCAACTGATGGACAGGCCATTTGCGAGAAGTAGCAATGCTTAATACAGTCCGAATTGTCACTAGTTTAACCACCGGACTAAACGTTTGATCATAATCAATACAGGCTTTTGATTGTAATCTTGAGCGACCAAACGTGCTTTACATCGATCAAGTGAACCATCGGATTTGAGCTTAACTCGAAAAATCCATTTTGAGCCAATAATGTTAGCAGAAATAGGAGGAGGGACCAAATCCCATGTATGGTTAGTGAGGAGAGCATTATATTCATCACTTACAGCAGCTCGCCATTCAGGGTATTTATTGGCCTTAGTGAAAGATTTTGGTTCATGGGGAAGTGAAGATGTTGTAGTAGTAGTAAGAGAGGGGATCTGTTTAGGTTTACGGGTGCCATCCCAAGTGCGGGTGACCATATGATGAGTGGGAGGGTTTGAAGAAGGAGGACCCAAATGAGCTGACAAGGAAGTAGAAGGTGTAGGGTCTGAATGTACAGAAGGAACAGTTGACACTTTTTGTTGAGGAGGTGAAGGTATCACGGAAGTGGGAATGGACCGTGGAATGAGAAATGAAGGATATTTGAAACGGGAGTTGGGAGTAGAGAGTGGTGGAACCAAAGATAGTTGAGGAAACGGGAAAGAGGTTTCATAAAAAACAACATGATGGGAAGTGTAAATTTTCTTGGAAGCAGGATCAAAACAACGGTAACCTTTATAAGACTCAGGATAACCGAGGAAGATACATGGAGTGGACCGAGGTTGGAGCTTGTGAGAAGCTAAATGAGATAGATTAGGAAAGCAAGAACATCCAAAGACCCGCAAGACACCATAATTAGGTAGAGTACCAAAAAGAAGGGAGAAGGGAACAGAATTGTTCTTGGATTTGGTAGGTAAACGATTTATCAGATAAACACTAGTATTTAAGACCTCTACCCAAAATTCAGGTGGCAAGTGAGCTTGATTGAGGAGGGTGCTGACCATATTGAGGACAGTCTTATTCATGCGCTCAGCTTTGCCGTTTTGTTGAGGAGTGTATGGACAAGAAATGTGCATGGTAATTCCCTTAGGTTTGAGAAAAGATTGAAGAAAATGAGGGTGAACATATTCAGCAGCACCGTCAGATTGAAGAGTTTTTATAGAAGTATTGAATTGAGTTTGAACAAGAGTATAGAAGTTAATAAATTTGTGAGGTACCTCAGATTTATGTTTAAGTGGATACACCCATAAATAATGAGTAAAATCATCAAGAAAAAGGACAAAATACTTGAAACCACTAAATGAAAGACAGGGAGAAGTCCAAACATCGGTATGGATTAAATCAAAAGCTTTGAAAGTAATCGAAGTAGAAGGCATAAAAGGGAGCTTATGATGCTTCCTAATTTGACAGAGGAAACCACCGAACCAGGAAGGAAGCGATGTGATACTAATCTAGATAAAACAGAAGAATTGGGGTGACCAAGGCGTTAATGCCAGACATGAGAAGAGACGGAAGCAGCGAACGCCGGACATGATGAAGAAGACGGTGCGCGAGAATGATCCAAAAGGGTGGATGGGAAAGTGTAAAGGGAACCAATACTATTGCAATGTAGACGAGGGTTCCTCGTCCAGAGATCCTTCACAGAAAAACCAAAGGGATCAAACTCAATACAACATTGATTTTCAGTTGCAAATTGACGCACAGAAACAAGATTTTTGGTAAGTGAAGGTACATAATAAACCCTAGGAAAGCGAAATTGAGAAAGTGTACCAACAGATTTAATAGGTAAATTTGAACCATTACCAATCAAAACTCGAGTAGAACCAAGATTGGGGTTTGGAATTAATAAGAGTACCTTGATTAGGAGTCATAGTATTACCACAAGCCGTGTCCATATACCAAGAAGAATCAACAGACGGAAGGACAGAAAGCCAATTATGTTGATCAACAAAATAAGCGGGCTGTTGGAATTGATAGCAATCCCGAACAGAATGATTAAACTGGTGGCACAATTGACATCAAACAGGACCCGAATCGAACGAGGAAGAAGGAGGCGGTCCAAGAAGAGAGGGAGCGCGCTCCTTGGGAGTAACCATGGGAGCCGGATAAGAAGAATAAGAGTGATAAAACGGAGAAGAGGACTGACCAAAATATTGATTGCGACCACGCCCGCAGCCTCGGCCTCTTGAATTCTGGAAGCCGCGACCCCTTCCACGGCCACGACTGGATGAAACAGGAGAAGAGAAGCGGACGTCGGCTGCTGAGAAGAACCAGGTGAAGCAGCCGCCACCAAGGCCGTGGTTGCCACGGGAGAAGAAGGAGGGGCCACGTTCTGAAGTGCACCTCATGCAAGAACAGCATCGAACGAGCGTCAACGAAGGTAGGAAGAGGGACTTTGTGGCTGATGGTGGTGGAGACGATTGATAATCAGCAGGAAGACCGGCGAGAATTTGCAGAACCAAATCAGAGTCGGAGATGGAACAACCGATAGCGGTCAAAGAGTCAGCCAACATCTTCAATTGAGTGACATAATCATTGATTGTGCAATCACCCTTCTTCAAGCTGTGGAATTGCAGCTTCAGATGGAGAAGCCGAGAGCCAAGTTGGTCATGAAACAGCTTCTCGATCGTAAGCCAGGCATCTCGGGCTGTGAGGGTGAAATTGGGCTTAACGACAGCCTGCAAGATCTTAGTAGAAACAGTGGCTTGAATCCACGAGAGCACAACAAAGTCAATTTGGGTCCAAGATTGAAAAGCCGGATTGGGAGTGGAAGAACCATCGGAGGCGGCGAGAGTCGCCGGTGGACAAGGATTTGAACCGTCAATGTGACCCATGACGGCATGGCCGCGGAAAATAGGAAGAAAGAGTTCCTTCCAAAGCATGTAGTTGGTGAAGTCAAGAACCGGGGTGATGTAGTTCTTAATATTTGAAAGGCCAATGGCCAGATGAGGAGAAGAAGAGGGTGGCAGGGTTGCGGTGTTGGTGGTGGTTTGAATGTGGTCAGAAGATGGAGTTCCTGTGACACCAGAGGCGGCCGAATTTGCCATAGCAGCAGGAACGTAAAAGGCAAACGAAAAAGATCAAACAAAGAAGGAAAAGAATTTTTTTTTTTTTTTTTGGAAAAGATCAAACGGCAGCAGTAGCAGGAAACACGAAGGAAAAGATGGAATCAATAGCGACGGAAGCTGGCAGTAGCAGCAGCAAAAGAAGGAATCAAAGAAGGAAAAGATCAAACAAACAGCAAACACGAGCAGCAGCAGCAACTAACGGCAGTAGCAGGGTTGATTCCTGGGTTGATCTGAACCGGGTTGAACCGAACTGGGTTTGGCACTTTATAGCAAGCGGTGGCCGAGAAGAACCGCACAGCAAGGCAGCCGCCGGGAAGAAGAGGTTTGAGAAACTTCCGTATGAAATTGCAGCAGCAGGGTGATGGCAGAAAATCACCGGAAGAGAACAAGAGAATCAAACTGACAATGGGCAGCGGCGACAATGGATGAACAGTAACATAGTTACAGCGGGGAAGAATTGCAGCAGCGGTAGCAAAGAGGGAAGGCAACCACAGCAGCGAGAAGCAAACAAATCTCCTGAAGTCGACGAAGAAGGTGTGCGCAACAACACTCTTGATCAAAATAGTCAAAATCAGAGGGAGAATACATGATCAAGAGGTCGGAGGGGTGGCCGGAAGAAAAAAACGAAAGCCGAAAACGAAGAAAAGAAAACCCTACAAAATTGACGGCCCAGGATAATAGGCTGATACCATGAAAGAATATTTTTCGTGTGTTATTACATGTGTACAACATCATATATATAGTACAATATTACAATAACCCTAGCCGTGATTATCGGAAACCCTAATTAGGGTTTTCGTATTTATGTATTCTATCATAGGACAACGAAAAATAGTGGCCACAATACGTACTGTATGCGGGAAAAAAAATAACAAAAGATATAAAATAAAATAAACAGGCAAGGGGAACGGTATATATGAAGCCATTGGATTTCAAGCTTATTGAAAATGATGAAAGCCAAATGGTAGTTTATGGTGTTTATTTACTTTTTTTTTTCCTTCTCCAAGAGAAGATATTGATGGTATATTTATGGATGATGACTGGAGGTCTTCATGTCCTCGAATTATTTCGTGATTTTATATATGACGGCGTAAGGAAAAAAAAACACAACATTCTTTTCAATTTGCGACTTGAAACACAAACAATAAAATGATATAAAATTCTTTTAAGAACAATGATATCAACATGGAACCAATCAATACTCTGAAAATAATATGCATGCTCAGCCAGGCGGAATCAATAAAATCCAACGCCTCCGACTTAAGCAAACCTGCCCAGCTGCCCTACTTTGAATTAGGCAAGCCCTATCAACTAGTGTAATACAAATCTCAAATCTAAAATTGTACTGTTTTTCTGGAATAGAGAAGGCATGTGATTATCTTGTTTTAAAACCCTATGTGGATGCCTTAGCTATAAACAACCGGAGGGCTCAGTCAAACCCAACGTAGTTCCATCAGCGTTGATACACAATGCTTTTGCAGGTTGATTTTTGTATTTGAGTTTCACATCTTTAAGTGTTATCCCTTTGCACGGATTCTTCTTGCTGCAATCGAATTTCACCGCGACTCGTGTTGCCGATGTTCCATGAATATCTTGGTACGTCACGTCGTTTATTTTTACGCCCGAAACCTAATTCAATAAATAAAAATATATTGTCAAGAACAATTAAAATGGATGAAATAAAATAATAAAATTTATGAATCGATGGAATAAATTGTAAAAGACTGTACGTACTTAAGTAGTTATACATTCAGTCGCCACAACTTTGTAGAAAATCAGTACGTGTGAATATGTTTGGATACTAGAATTTTTAGGATATTGTTTCTCTTCTTTTGTTTTTTAACGACGAAAAAAAAATAATAAAATGTATTAAAAAGAATGAATATTGGATAATGAGATACCTGTCCAGGACAATTGATATTATCTGGGCAGTAATTTTGGTCAATCACAATAGGGTTTTGGACATTGATCATAGTGGCCTGTTGGAACATAACATGCTTCACAAACCCTTTACTTGGTCTTCCCCATGATTTAATCCTCACGCCGTTCTGAGTATTTACAAATGTCACACTTTTTACTGTCACATTTTGCACCCCTTCTTCTTCAAAATCCTTTCCAAGACTCCCAATGCTGCAAAAGAAGGAATTCAAATTATTATGGTACAAAATAAATTAGTTTAAACAATGAGAATTGTATTTATTTTTATTTAAAAAAAAAGAGTTACCTTATGCCATGGCCAGGACCACAAATGACGTCCTGAATCAACAAATTGGTTGTTCCGGGGCCAATGGAAACACAATCGTCGCCGGTACTGAGTTTCGATTTCAAGATTTTGACGTCGGACGAGATTTGGACGTGGATTCCGTCGGTGTTGGGACTGTCTCCGGCAGCCAGAGTCTTTACTGATTGTAACTTGACATTGTTGCAACCATTGAACACAATGTGATACAGTTGGCTGTTGAGGGAAATTAGGCCGGAAATGGCAATGTTGTTTGACTTCGAAAATCCTAGAGTCTGTAAAAGATATATAGCGACTTAATTATACTCAGATAGTCCCCTGATCTATAATTTATTTTATTTTATTTTTTTTGAAAGCCCCTGATCAATACTGAATATCAAGCAAAATTTGACATCTTTAGTTAGGTGTGAAATGCCTTTAAAAAGTGCGTTTAGATTATCTCTTCACCAAGGAAACTTACCCTTTCCTCAAAAGTAAATTTTCGTGAAACCCGAAGTCAGAAGAGTCAAACATATTTTAATTTTTTGTTTTTAAGTAACATGATTTTTTTTTCTTTTTTTTGATGCGTTACCCACTGAAATGCCGTAAATCACTTTCCGGAGTAATGCAAATTTAAACAACTAATAAAAATTTGAGTCGAATAAATATTTTTGGGTAAATTAAATTCTCCCAAGCTAAAAGAAACCAAACCTTATGTGTATGTATGTGTCTGAGGGAGAAGTTATTAGAGCCGTTTTAATTCCAGAGTCAATTTTTTCAAAGTTGGAACTATTGAAAAACCACCCACTTCCCCCAAAACTCCAAAAGGAAACCGTTCAGGTACTCAAAATTAATACTCCCTCTGCCTAAAAATTATTGTTCAATTTCAAATTTTATTTTTAGTACAATTTGAATTAAAAATGAAAATTAAAACTGGATAATAATTATAGGAGTACTAATATTGTAGTGTCAATTAAGCTGGTAGCTACCAAAACACAAATTGATAAAAATAGCCTCGAATTAATTAATGTCAATCGAAGACAGTTAACCCCTCTTAGAATGGGCAGGGGTAATATCGTAATATAAACATACCGTGACACCGGTTGGGCAGTTCTTGCCGGAGGATTTACAAGCCCAGAGACCGGCCCCTTGGCCATCAAGAACTCCACCAAGAATTGAAACTCCATCCACATTTTTAAATTGAAGCCAAAATTCAGCATCACCAAGAACATTGTAATCTGAAGGAGCAATAATTGAGCCGTCAATCCTAATTATTATTGCTCCAGTCTTGCATGGACCCGAAAATTGAGCTTTTTGCTTCACCAAAAACCTCCCCTTTGGTACAAAAATGGTGGCCGGTTTAGGAGAGTCGCAAGCTGCATCCCATGCTCTCACAAGCGCCGCTGTCGAATCGGTTTTTCCATCTGGTTTGGCTCCCAAAGACATAACATTAATCTTTATACTTTGGCTATCAATGGCAGTTGATAATCTTGGTTGATTGAAGAAGAAGAAGAAAAGACATGTAACAAGAAAAAGATTGATGGGCTGCTCCATTTTTTTTTACCTTAATTTGAGAGTATTTTTGTATGATATGGTCAGTTTAAGTTTGATGGACTTAGATTGGAGAAATGAGGAGGTTAGACTGGAGTATTTATAGTTGGATTTTTGTTCTGAAAATTTAAGACCAAGGACGTGGGAGGAAGTGTGTGTGAAAGGTAGGAGGCAATTTGAATCAAAAGCAAGCAATCCCCGCCGGAAAACATACTATTACTTCAACTAATTAACAAAACTTACCTTTTCAAAAAAATTAACAAGACTTGTAGGATTTCTTCAAACCTAAAAATCGGGTACTTTAGTTTTAAGGTTTAATTGAAGTGCATGCATGGATAGTGTTCTTATACTATTTTGGGAACAGTGATCTAAATTGGATTTCAGGCTACGTGCTAGTGATTAAGCTATAGGCTTAAAAAAGGACTACTGGTACATTTTTTCTTAAAACAAGGTTACAGCTTTTATGACACTATTTTTGTGTTGTTTCTATTATTATTCTTTTGATTTGCGCCTTTCTTTTCTACAAGATAACCTCTTCGACTCGGGTTCGTATCATCGTGGTTTAAGAGTTATTCAGCTACAATTATTTTATATATCGAAATGTATACGATTCAACAATGAACATTTATTGATTTTGTTAGCGAGGGGCATCTTGTAAATATGCAAATGATTTCACTTGTTACTTAGGGGTGGGTTGGATGTGAAGAGACAAGGAGAACCAGTTAAATTAATGCTTGAAACTATTCGATGGGAGAACTTTAAGGTCAATGCTTGAGATGTACAATATGAACATATTCCTCAAAGCATACAATTTTTAATAGCAACGTAACAGGTCAATAATTTCTATTTGATGATGTATACTCACGTAAGAACTAATCAAAGTAACAAGCTAGGCTTGTTGTTTTAGGAAAGTGATCTCAGTGAACTTAATAATTATTTAACGCTAGTGTTTAAAAAAAATTATTTAACGCATAAAAATGTGTGAAATCCCAAGGTAAAAGGAAACAAATCTGCACAAAAAGGAAAAAAGAAAGAAGAAGAAAAAAGCTGAAAGTATAAAGCAAACGACCGTCGACTTGAAACTCCAATATACTAGATTTAGAATAAATTGAGAAAGCCCACCATTAACATGCAGGCATATGGCTCCTCTTAGATTAATTGCTTGAATCTCAAGTCTAAACCATGCTCATAAGTCATACCACTCATTTAACTTCCCTTTGTACTTTCTTTTCCCTTGTTTTAATTTTTACAAACATTTTTGTTTTTAGAATCGAATCCTCGACCTCTCAATAATAACTATCCACATCCTAATCTTCTAACCACTCTACCCAATCCTCTTACCCCTTAATTTTTAGAAAGATAATTCCTAAATGGATGAAAAGAAAACAACCGTACGTATTGAAGATATACATGATAGATATTAGATATCATTCAAACCACAAAGAATCGGAAGGTGTTTATTTTACTATGAGCAAATAGAATTAGTTGAAGTCATTTTTGGCAATTACAAAATTTATTTCATATATAAACATAATGCCTGATCCAGTAATATTATCGCAAGATAGATGTTTAGATAAATTTCTTTCGAGCTTTAGCTTAATTACTTTAATATTAATTCATAATCAAAATTAGGATCATTTGCGTTTCAGAAAAATAATCTAATTATATGTGAAATGTTTTAAATATAATTTACAAACTCAAATGTACACTACTTTTGTGGAACATAGAAGTACTTGATAAACAATTTAATGATTTATTAGTTCAAACTCTAAAGTGCAGTCATTTTGCTCGACCTCATAACCTAAAGTCCTAAATTCAGTACCATTATTTTCTTATAAGAATTACCCACCCTTACCTGAAATCTGAAGTGGATTTGATCCTACATTTATTTGGTAGAGACTCCCATTAGTCCAAATTCGCAGCCTAAAATCATAGAAGCCCCCGTGTACACTGTAGTGCCCCACTAACCTAGGTTAGGCTTGATTTTAGCTCTTAGGGTTCGTTCTGCCTCCTCCACGGTGAGAGTAGTATAAAAAAATTGAGTAGGAAGAAAATTACTACTGTCTCAATATTCAATTTGAATTATTTTTATTTTTTATTTTTTATTTTTGATAGAAGGAGCGGTACAGTTTGGTATGAGGACGTATCATTATTCAACTAGCACATTTCATTGAAAATCTAAGAATAGAATACCAAAGATTAGTGTATGAGTTGGGTAATTAGCTTGCTTTTCTTGGCCAACAAATTAGCTTTAAAGAATCCAGTAAGACATTTATATATAATAACTAATCTCAATACTATATACCAAAAAAAAAAAAAATCTCAATCAACTATACGTACGAAGTTACGAGAGTTTACCGTACCGAACTTGTACGGTCTAGCTAGTGTGGATATAATCAATTAGTAAAGTTTCAAAAAGTCAAATATTAACGATGTCGATGCTAAAAATCTGCCGCGTATTTCAATCCCTGGATTGTGATCATTCGTCTAATTACAGCAAATTACATGGATCAATATTAACCTAACAATTATATTCTTCCTCACCAAACTTTAGCTTTTCTTGTACTCCCTTTGTCCCAAAATTATTGTCCAATTTGAAATTTCAATTTTAGTTCAAATTATACTAAAAATAAAAATCCAAATTGGACAATAATTATGAGACGGGGGAAGTAATTAATGTAGGCCTGGATTTTTGGCTATGTCCTAATTTACACATGTTAAAATCATAGCAGTAAATATCGTACGATACGCGAGACGTATCGCACGATACGTATCAAAATTAAGGATTTCGATACGTATCATGTTATGTATCGCAATCGCTTGTGTATCGGTCAATTATCGATATGTATCGTACGATACATACGATACACGATACGATTGCGTATCGTACGATACAAAAACATACAAAAAAAAATATTATTAAAAAAATTTAAACTTTTGTTTTATAATAACCGTTTAAATTTTAAATTAAGAGCGAATTTCATTTACAATTTGTTTTAAATAGATATTATTGATTTATTTCTTTCACGAACATAATTTTTCTCAATTGAAGACAGAACCGCTTAATAAATTATCATAATCTAAAAATAATAGATTTAAATATATCATTTTATTCATAATATCATTTTCCAAATGAAGTATAACTAATAACATGTTGAATAAATGCAATACATGTTTATATTAATTTTTCTCACTATTAAATTTATGGCTATAATAACAATTATCATGAAAAACGATATTTATTACATAGGTTGTACGACCATTATTGATGTAATGAATGAGTAATTTGTGTAACTTTCAAATAATCTTGAATTCAACTTAATCAATTTATTTGTTTATAGCTGAAAAATAAAAAAAAATAAATATATCAATGACATATGAATTTTATGATATTTATTATTTACTTTATGCATATTATTATATTAAAATGTATCTTACGATACGATACACGATACGATACGCGTATCATAAATTTAGATTTCCGATATACGATACGTATCACGATTTGATAACTATGGTTAAAACTAATTAGTACGCAATCTCTTATATGCGTGGATCATTTGGTAGTCATTCTATAGTTGAAGAATGAAGAAGCAAACTCGAACCAAGAAGGCCGTCAAATTTATTATTCTTGGATTACTTTTACACGAAATGATTTTTACTCGAAAAAAGATCACTCGTCAAGCGGCTAACGTGAAGAAGTTGTGAAAAAACACAGTACCGTTAGATCAGATGAATATATTTTAATTAAAAACCGACGTTTAATTCATTTGACAAAGTTAACTTATAGCTAGATGGACCTCATGCACTGTATGTGGAGTTTTCTTGCAGTTCAATAAAATTTTTTCCGGTACATTGATATAGATTTTCTTTTTTTTCATAAAAATGAATGTATTAAGTCAAGATATTACTATTTGGCCAGAAACCAAGGTATATGTGAGGGCTTCCAAATGGGCGGAATCGTACGTCCGCCGCCATACTATATGACGGCTCATGTGGGAACGCATGAAACGTAGATCTTCTTGTTTACTGTCCAAGAATTTATTTTATCCTAATTAAATTAAATACTCCCTCCGGTCCTTATTATAAAGTATTTTGATTTCTTCCTAGGTTTCACTTAGAGTGTATTTTTAATTGAAATAAATACTTTAAAACATTTCATCCTTATACTTAATATAAAGGCACAGTAGGCAAGAAATTAAATGCCCAAGAAATATTCAGGGCCACCTTCAAATTGATCTCGTATGTCGGATGGCCTTGATATGACGTCAGCGACTTATTAGGGGTAAAAAGGAGAATGCATAAATTCAATTTCAAATTAATGAATGAGAAAAAAACTGAATTTTTGGTAAAAAAAAAATCTCCAGATATCAAAACAACGTCATTTTATGCCCTTATTTTGTTCCCAACAGTGAAAACGATGACGTTTTTATATCAATATTTTCTTTTTAAAAAGAAATTTTGTTGAATTCCCGAAACAAAATGACCACAGATTATACTTGCGCTTCATCTTTCCTTTTTTCCTTCTTATTTTTTAGCCTCATCCTTTTTTTAAGACCTCTATTTACGCTGATACCCCCACCGTTTTTTGGGACCGAAAGATTATATATAAAAAATTGTTACAGACACGAATTGGAACCGCAGTTCCTCTACCACGACTAAAACTATAGCTGCGGCTAAAAATCAAACTGCCGCTAAATACCACCTTCAAAATTAAATTGCCGCCGCTAATCACCATAATCTCCGTGCAGAGTTGTTGAAGTTTATCGTTGGAACGTTTGTTGATTGAGTCCATAGATTCGATTTTGCAACCTTCACCGGTAAGACTGTTGGGGACGAAGATAAAGAGCAGTAACGAGAAGAGGAAGGGGCTCTAATCTTGATTGATCATAGATCGTGGTGCTAGACAAGATTTGAACATTGTTCTATATATACTACTTTTTCTACTTTTTCTTTTTCTTTCTATTTGGGCTCTAATTCTATTGTTGCGAAGAGTCGCTCACCGGATTTTCTAGAGGGTTTTTTCCTCTTCTCTCCCCACTACCGTGGATTGTGGCA